AAAATAAAACAATCACCTGAAAATAAGCCCTAATTGGTCTTTTGGAGCCAAAATTAATATTAGACCTGGTCTTATTTTCAGAGAAACACAATATTAACCCATGTTCACGTATTTGAACTGTGTGAAAAAAAATTCAGTATGTATTCCTGGTGCTCCACTACTTGATGTACTGAAAGATGTTATTTTTCCAAAAGAGTAGAATAGACTAGTTGAGTGCTATCATTTGGCTTGCAATTTTTTCTTTGCTAAATTTAACCAGGGTCAATCAAGTAAACTAGGATTGATACTGGACCTCTGGGTTGAGAGGAGGTGAAAACTTCACAAACTTAATTCTTCCTTTAACTACGTGAGGCCCTTTATGTGAATTAGGTGCTAGGAGCTCAGTTTTCAGTATGTTTACATAAAGGTTTGGAGGATTCAATTCGGCAGGATTTCCATTCAAGTTTAATTATGCAATGCAGTACAATAGTTACAATACAGATAGTCCTCAACTTACAATGATTCATTTAGTGACTTTTTGAAGTTAACAATGGCACTGAAAAAAGTGACTTGTGATTGTTTTTAATAGAACTGTTGCAGCATCCCCATGGTCATACAATCAAAATTCAGACACTTAGCAACTGGTTCATATCTATGATGGTTGCAGTGTCCTGGGATCACGTGATCACTTTTGGAGATCTTCTGACAAGCAAAGTCAATGGGGAAGCCCAATTCACTTATCATTGTGTTACTAATATAACAACTGCAGTGATTCACTTAGCAACTGTGGCAAAAAAGGCATAAAATGGGGCAAAACTCACAGCTATCTTGCCTAGCAACAAATTTTGGGCTCAGTTATGGTCTTAAGTTGAGGGCTATCTGTAGTGCTTAAGTGCACTACCTTGCACTTTTGGAGGAAAAAGTTTATAAACCTAACAAATACCAGTTATTATGACTTACACGTTTCCTCCTGCTTTAGCATATCAATTATCCTAATTTGCATTTTGTGTTTACCTACAAAGGACTGGCAAAGCCCTTCCTGCTGACATAATATTTATAAACTCCCCAAGCCACTAGATCAGTGGTGGCGAAACTATGGCACACATGCCAGAAGTGGCACTTGGAGCCCTCTCTGTGGGCACGTGTTCCACCGCCAACAGCTGCTCGCACAGGTCCATTAGGCCGCTGCCCAGAGCTGCAGGCCCGCCCAGCATGAAGGAGGCAAAGCAGTCACCTAGGAAGCCACCTATAGAGGTGATTAAAGCACGCCCAGGGCCAGCAGGCAGAAGGCTACCATGAGCAGGGAAAGCTGGATCCCCATCGGTGTCATGGCCGCCCAGGCCCAGCAGAGATGGGTGGGAGGCACGCAATCCTAGTTCGGGGTGGCCTTTGGCTTGCTGGGAGTGGGCGTGCTCTACCACCTCTACTCAAGCTTGCTAGCCTGCCACTTCACCTCCTTTGTGTTGGGCAGGGCGGCCTAATGGATCTGTGTGAGCTGCTGGCAGTGGCAACCTGAGGAGGGCCCAAGGTGCATTGGGTGCTTGAGGGGAACAGGCTCCATGTGCTGGCCAAGGGCAAGATCTGTGAGGGGGCTAAGGAGATGACCAGCAGCAACCTGCTCTCCAACTGCAAGTAAAAATAGATGGGACAGAGTAGGCACATCCGGCAGCCTGCACCATGTGCCTCCCCACTCCCCTACTCCGCCTGCAGCTGGAGGGGTGGCCCGGTATTGGCAATGGGCTGCAGAGCCCCAGTAGGCTGTGGCTGCTGACAGACACCGTTGGCCCCCATGTGCTCACTGGCCTCTGTGCAGGGGTCGATGGTGTAAGGCAGCAGCTGCCCTGGCCCCTGCCTCGCCTTGCCCCGCACCAATGGCACCGCCACCCTCCTGCCCACTGCCCCATCTGCCAGAGACCCCCTGGATTTCCCCCAACCCTGCCTGGCCCCCACAGGTGTCCCCCCCACAAGCAACATCGAGATGGCCTCGCCCACCCTGGCCATGCCCACCCAGTCTGCCGTGACCACTACAGTCATGCCCACCTAGTGGGCCATGCCCCCCACCCCCCGAGGGGCACAATGCTGATGTGGCCCTGGCACTTTGCAATAAATAAACGGGTTTTGGGTTGCGGTTTGGGCACTTGGTTTCTAAAAGGTTTGCCATCACAGCACTAGATCTTCTGTTATAGACTATTATAGTTACATGCATCGCATCAGTATAGATCAGTGGTTCTCAACCTGTGGGTCGGGACCCCATTTGGGGTCAAACAACCATTTCACAGGGGTCGCCAAACAAGGCTGTCCGCCATTTTTTCCCCCTTTTCTTTGGCCATGCCCCTGGCACCCGGTGATGTATAAGTGGTTGGGGGTCACCACAACATGGGGAACTGTATTATGGGGTTGCGGCATTAGAAAGGTTGAGAACCACTGGTATAGATGCAGGATTGTATTGAATAGAATAGAGCTGGAAGGGACCTTGGAGGCCTTCTAGTCCAGCCCCCTGCTAAAGCAGGAGAACCTATACCATCTCAGATAAGTGACTGTCTAGCCTCTTCTTTAAAATATCCAGTGATGTAGCACCCAAGCTATTCCACTGGTTATTGTCCTCACTGTCAGGAAGCTTCTCCTTAATTCCAGGTTGCTTCTCTCTCTGATCAGTTTCCAACCATTGTTTCTTGTTTTGTCCTCTGGTGCTTTGGTGAATAATGTGACCCCCTCCTCTTTGCGGCAGCCCCTCAAACACTGGAATATTGCTATCATGTCTCCCCTATTTCTTCTTTTCTTTAGATTGGCCAAACCCAAGTCCCGCAGCTGTTCTTTGTATGTTTTAGTCTCCAGGCCTTTGATCATCTTAGTTGCTCTTCCCTGTCTTTTTCCAAACTCTCAACATCTTTTTTGTGATATGGTGACCAAAATTGGCTGAAGTATTCCAGCTGTTTGGAATGTGGCTCAAGATCCCCAAACAAACAAACTCACTTGGAATTCCAGCAACAAAGTTTTATTCAAAATGCGTTTGCAAAGGCTTTGTGGACTGAAACACACACAGGAGTTCAGCCACACCTTAAAGAGCAGTTTAACACATTTTTATATCCTTCCCTGGACGCAGATTCCCTCCTCCCCTATCGCACTCAACACCCCTTACCTAATCATCTGATAAACTAAAACCACTGTCTTTCCCATGTTCCAGGAAGCTCCTTTGTCCATATCCTATCTTTCACCATCTAATTTTCTGTTAGCATAGCTGGCTCTTATAGTTATTTCAATATTTCTGCTTGCAATATCAGTTAGCTAGCAACTTCTGCTTTTCTTATTTGTCTGCAATTTACTTGTCTGATTTTATGACTTTCAGGTGGCTTCTTCTATGACCTTCATTAGAAATTTCTGAATAATACTTTATTCCTTTCACAGGCATGGTCTTACTAGGGTTTTATAAAGCGGTAATAATACCTCGCATGATCCTGATTCTATACCTCTGTTTATACAACCCAGGATTGTATTAGCTTTTTTGGCTGCTGATGCACACTGCTGGCTCATGGTTAAGTGATCGTCCACTAGGACAGGGCTTTTCAACCTTTTCACCCACTGTACCACTTTTAGAATATGGCAACATCTGAGTTCCACCAGTCACCTAGCAAGGTATCAAAAACTTGATGACACCCCCCCCCAAAAAGGAAAAAAGTGATAAAGTATAGGTAGTCCTCGACTTACAACAGTTTGCTTAGTGACTGTTTGAAGTTACAATGGCATTGAAAAAAGTGCCCCCCAAGCCACAGCCAAGCAAGACAACTGCCTGCCCACCCGGCGGCGCTCTTCCTCCTGTCTGAGGTTTTCATTGTTGCGCATTTCTGTTGAGGATTGGCAGTAGGGGTGGGGTGGGGTGTGTTTGGTTTTTATCCCCCTCCCCCTGTCTGCTGGGTGGTTGCAGCAGATTTTCATCACTTCACATGACCCTGGGACATTGTGACCATCATAAATATGAATCAGTTGCCAAACATCTGAATGTAAATCACAAGACCCTGGAGATGCTGCAACATTCCAGCTGATCAGCGCTTCTTCTGGGCTCAGCAGAAGCGCCAGGATCAGTGCTGCTTTCCAGCTTCTTCAGGGCTCAGCAGAAGCACCAGGATCAGCGCCGAGCTCCAGCTGGAGCCTGGCGCTGATCCTGGCGCTTTCACTGAGCCCTGACAGCCCCGAAGCACCGATTATCTGGAAAGCGGTACTGATCCTGGTGCTTCCGTTGAGCCCTGGCAGCCCTGCAGCTCCAGCCATCTCTCTCTCAAGTTTGTGCGGTGCTGCCACCGGTTCAGCTCATTCCCCTCCCCTGCTACCAGTTTTCTAGGATGGTTGCGTACCACCTGCCAGGTGCCAATGTACCACAGGTGGTACCCGTACTACTGGTTGAAAAGCCCTGCACTAGGACTCCAAGATCCCTCTCACAGTTGCTGTTTTTATTGTTTATGTCATTACAATAGTTAATTATAAAAAATTGAAAGATGTGCAATGTTAATCCTGCTTTAGGCAAGAAAGCTGGATGTGTGACTTCATGCCAGTCTCTCTCAACTCACACCACAGGGCAGTGGTTGTGAGGAAAATATGAAGAGGAAGGAATATTCAGGATATTCTCCATCTTGAGTAATTAATAAAAATAAAAAGACAGGATATAAATAAACATGATAGAGGTAGTCCCTGACTTTGAACACAATTGAACCCAAAATTTACATTGCTAAGTGCAATATTGGTTGAGTTTTGCCTGATTTTACATCTTTCTTGCCACAGTTGTTAAGTGAATCATTGCAGATGTTAGCAACATGGTTGTTAAGTGAATCTGGCTTCCCCATTGACTTTTATTGTCAGGTCAGAAAAGGGGATCACATGACCTCGGGACACTGCAATTGTCATAAATATGAGTCTGTTGACAAGCATCAGAATTTTAATCATGTGACCAAGGGGATGCTGCAATGGTTGTAGGTATGAAAAACAGTCATATATTGCTTTTCTCAGCGCCATTGTAACTTTGTAACAGTTACTAAATGAATTGCTGTAAGTCGAGGACTACCTGTATTTAGTTCACTTTTTATGCTATATATTTAAAAACACAGTAGCTATTGGTAAACGCGACACACTTCTCCAAGCCCACGAATGGCCCTGATGGCTGAGGACCATGGGATTTGTGCTCCAGCTTCCTAGCAAAGGGAGAGCTCGTAAAAGACTGAGCCACCCCATCGGACGCCCCGCGTGCTTCGATCTAAATCGGCCGGTCGGACCCAACCCCTCAAGTGGGGCGGAGTGGGCGGGGCCAATTTGGTGGTACCTGCGCACTACGACCTCCATCCTGGAAGGCGCACCGGCGAGGGAGCTGCCGCTCAGCTTCATTCCGGAGGGAGCCGGGACGGTTATCGGCATCGGTACGTCGCCAGGCTCGGAGCGGCAGCCTTCCCGGCTTTCCGAAGACGTCCTCTTTGGCCTCAAGCGTTGCGGGACGAGGTCGTGGGACTTGGTCCTCTCCTTGCGGTTTCTCCGAGGCGAAGGCGTGTTATTGCCGCCGCCTCCCGAGAGCGCGCTTTCCTCGGACCGCAGGCGGGCTTGACTGGCGGGCGCACGTCTCGAGAAGGTACCGCATTCGGCCCGACGAGAAAGGAGTGGGCGGCTCTGCCTTCGGCGGAGGAGGGGGGTAAGGAATCGGGCTCGGAATCCCTGCCACGTTTCGAACCAGCGGATTTCTCGAGTGGAGTTTGGGGCAAGTTATCTTTCAGACCCGCGTCCACGGTCCGGCCAGACTAAGTGACACGTGTTTGATCTGGCCTTGGGTCCTCCGCTCTTCCCCGGAGCGCGAGGACCGCTCGATCCGTAGGGTGGGCCTTCAGGCTCCTGCTTGTGCAGTGGGCTGGCTTTGGGACTAAGCTCTGAAAGCCCCCTTTCCCCCTTTTTCCTCGAGGCCTGTCGTTGGCTTTGATCCAGATTAGTGGGGCTGCATTCCCAAAAGCGGGTAGTGCTGTAGCTGTTTTATTTAAAAGTTTGGGGGGGGGGGTTAAAGGGTAAATAAGTACGTGTATCATTTCTAAACAACAGTTTGCTCTTGAGTCATGCTAGCGCTGTTGCAAAAAAGGGAAAAGCCCCAAAATGTGTGGTTGCTCCCACACTAGAACATTGCTGGAACCTGCAGAAATTGTGCTGATGGGTTGTGCATATTTTAGTTGTTCTTTGATCTGCATCCAGCGTGACCTTTCCACTTGGCGACTCCCCAGTTGATTTGGCAGGTCTGATGTCTCCAGCCTGCCCAAAGTCATGATTGAGTTTTTTATTAAAGGCATCATCCCATCCACCTTTTGTTTAGGAACTAAAAGTGGCCTAGGTAGTATAGGTAGTCCTTCACTCAGGACCACAACTGAACCTGAAATTTCTGTTGCTAAGCAAGATAGTTGTTAAGTGAGTTTTGCCCTATTTTATATCTTTCTTGCCATACTTCTTAAGTGAATCACTGCAGTTGTTACTAACACGGTTGTTGAGTAAATCTGGTTTCTCCATTGTTTTTGCTTGAGAGAAGGTAGCAAAAGGTGATCGTGACACCCTGGGATATGGCAACCGTCATAAATACATGCCATTTGCCAAGCATCTTAATTTTGATCACGTGACCATGGGGATTCCACAACAGTCGTGTGAAAAATGGTTTTAAGTCACTTTTTTCAGTGCCATTGCAATTGAGCGGTCACTAAATGAATGGTTGTAAGTCAAGGACTGTCGGTAGCCTGACCTTTAATTGTTGCCAAAAGCTTTGACACTGAGTGAATGACTGGCTCACAATCTCCCTGAGGCTTATGATGGACTGACTGTCCCTAGTCATAGTCCAATACTATAACCAGTGCCCCACATTGGGTCTTAATCTGGGATACAATAATATTATTCCCAACTAATCTAATCAAGGCTGATAAAATTCTAATCTCAACATCGGGATCATATCTGATTGAAAGAAACCGTATACTTGGGTAAATGGCTCATATGTATTCAATACAGCTGAATTCTGGGTGTGTCTAGATGAAAATACTGTAAAATTTAGGATATACCGTACTTGTATTTTTTTTATTTCACAACTATTGAGTATTTTCCATGGATAGCAAAATGGACAACATCATTTGTAAGATAGTTTGACATACCTACCCACACAGTTATTGTAAGAAAGGATTTTGTCTCATCTGCATAGTTTAGCTGAACTTTTGCTAGCCTATTCCTATTCATCCTAATTCTTCCCCCATAATCTGACACACAATTTGAACCTCCACAATGAAAATAATGGGCAACTGCTAAAGTGTAATTGTTGTCCTGAGTAGATGAAAACAGAATAGAAGAACAGTGCACAATAATTATATAAATGGGTGTAAAGCATCCATCATTGTGTAAACTTCCTTGACCCTGAGGGCCACATACTTCGCAATGGTATATTAAGTTGGCTGCTTACTAAAGATTTGGTTTTGAAACTCTAATGAACTCTGAGATGGTAGCAAAGAGATGGGGGTGGGGGAATCCAATTTTGGCTACCAGTTAGTGGCTGTCTGGATTATAGTTACCCTGATCTGGTAGCTATGCTCTCCAGGGCTGAATTCTAAAAGAGGATGGCGCAATAGTTATTTTATTTGGGAGTTCGGGGACTTTTAAGGTGAAAAATAAATGTATTTGGCATTTGCAAATACCCATTTTGTTCCAGAAGGTGTGCTCCTCCTATTCTAGAGAAACACTGGAGGCTGCAGAAGTTACGCTGGGGCATAAAGTCCATATGTTTACATAAAACTACCCTTGAAAAGATTGCTTTTATTAGCAGTATGGGAGAGGTTATCTTTCTATACTGTATTTGGGAAGCAAGGGAGGGGGTGCAAATTTATTTCCTGGAGTCATGATGTCTGTAAGCCCTTAATTGCCAGGTATATTCTGGTTAAGGATATTTTAATTAAAGTCCTAGGATAGGAAGACCTGGAGGAACATTGTCCATGGGGTCACGATGGGTCAGACACGACTTCGCAATTAACAACAACAACAATTAAAGTCCTAAATAAAACATAAAATTTCATCAATGACTCAAGAAGCTTTATATATGAAATCACTCAGTGCAATTGTTTATAATTATATCCATATTTGTGCATAATACAACAGACATTCTTAGCAATGTTTTACCATTAATGTGTATTATATGTTCAAAGGCCATCATATACATTAACTATGATAAGCGTATGCCTTGCATTATAAACTAATGTAGCCATCCCTGTGTGTAACATAGGATCCAGCTGATTTACTGAGCCAAAAAAAATTATATTACACGCCATAATTCAGATGATACCTAATAGCAAAAACTGTACCAAAGGTGCTTTTTCAAAAGGCAGTTGGTCTTTGTTTTTCCTTGAAGACATTTCACTTTTAATCCAAGAAGTTTTCCTTCTTCAAGAAAAAACAAAGTCCAGTTCCCTTTTGAAAAAGCACCTTTAGAGCAACCATGACCTAGATCAGTGGTTCTCAACCTTTTTAATGCCGCGACCCCCAACCGGTCGTAAGTCGAGGACTACTCAACCGGTCGTAAGTCGAGGACTACTCAACTGGGGCAGCACCGTTTGCAGAATGGGACTTTTGTCGGGCTCAGCAGGGCAGAGACAGCCTGGACAATTCCTATTGGCTTTTGAAAGCCAATAGAATTAGACTCTATTCAAGAGATTCTATTCTATTGGCTTTCAAAAGCCAATAGAATAAAAGGGAGTAGCACAGCAAAGGAAAAGGGGGAAAAAATGGCGGACTGCGTTGTTTGGCGACCCCCGTGAAATGGTTGTTCGACCCCAAATGGGGTCCCGACCCACAGGTTGAGAAGCACTGACCTAGATGACTTAGAATCTCCATAGACATTTAGCAAAAACTGTACTTTTTATTTAAATTGAGCTTAAATTGGCCACATTAGGAGAAATGGATCTTATTCACAGAAGAACAAGAATGACGAATGAAAGGCAAATCAGAAAATAGATCCAAGGAATGTTCGGAATTTTGAAAGTGAGCTTTCTTGTTTGCAATATGGGATAAAGTTGAAAATGGAACACTTGCTTTTCTCTGTGACTGTCAAGCTGTTTAAACTGTCAGTGGTTCCAGGAAAAATTATGGTACCTCTTCAAAGTTGAAAGATTTGATTAAAAAAGCAGTCTATTCCTATTTGTCCAACCAAACAGTTCAGAAATAACAATGGTTAGAAAGTTCATCCCGGACTTGAAATTTTTCAAGCTCATTGGATGGATAGGGGCAAGGGTTTTTTTGTTCCTAAGTCATACTTCTGACTGGATATATTGGACACAGTTTTCATAACTCCTCATCTGTCTGGGGATTAATGACTGTATATTTGTTTGGAGAAGTTACTTTCAAAATACCGTTTACCTTTTGTTTTTAAGATGGTACGGAGACCAGGTGTTTTGCAGAGTGGCTGCCAATAGTAACTAGTTTTAGCATGTTGATGGATTGGACTAGAACCAGCTTGAAAAGTTGGACTGAGATATGGTGGAGTTTCCATAGGTTTGGGTTCATCTATCGAGCCCAAATTACTTCTTGTTGAGCCCGCACAACTCGTTTTTCTTATAGGCTGTGTTGCAGCTTGGGGCAGGATTGCACTTGGTGCTGGGGTTTATGGGGTTTGCCTCTTTGTCTGGTCTGCTGCTGACAGGACCATTGTCCCCAGGACTGGCAGTTGGATGATCAGATTACTGGATGCACAGGATATGTGTAACAGCTTCAGTACACGGACCAGCTGTAGTGAACTGAGCAGTGTTTGACTGCGTGGCAATGGAGAGAAACACACCAGTGGCAACTGGAGATGTTTGTAACTTGGCTGTGTGGAACCAGTAAGCTCAGGAGTGGTGATTGCAAAGGCAACAGAGGCAATTGAAATGGTCCAGCTTAAGCCTTAATAGCCACCTGGAATGGGAGAGCAACTATGGCTTCAGATCAGATTGCGCATGAATGGCCTATACACAATGGATCCCAGAACTCTCCTTGGTATACGGAAGAGCTAAAGAGGGATAAGAGACATCGAGATTGCCACTGGCAAGCAACAAAGAACAAAGATGATTGAACGTGATCTAGAGCTGCAATTAGTGCCTACCCTGTGGCAATAAGGATGGCAAAACAATTATTTCTCTGCCCTTATCACCTCTGCAGATAGCACGACAGCAGCCCTGTTTCCTATAACTAAGACTCTCCTTGCAAGGAGTCATTCTGAGGTTTTATTTCCAGAGACATTGTGAGGAATACACTGATTACCTAGTAGATAAAGTTGCTTGGATTCACACTCCATTGAACTCCAGCCTTGGTGTAGGGCAGGGGTAGGCAACCCAAAACACTCAAAGAGCCACTTGGACCCGTTTCCCACCAAAAACAAAACACTAGAAGCCACAAAACCTTTTAACTGCCAGTAGGGGTATGAACTGATTGGGTGAGAGCTTGACTGTTCTGATTGGATGGAGGTGTGTTCTGATTGGTTAGGAGCTTGGCTGTGCTCTGATTGGATGGGGAGTGTTCTGTTTGGATAGGGGCTTTGTTGTGCTCAGGTTAGTCTGAGTTGCAGGGGGATGTGAGATGGTGAGCTGCATTGCTATTGTTTGGCTTTGCGTTTGTGGTCGTGCCTCATCTTCATGGTGGGTGTCAGTTTGCTTCATGTATGGATTGGAGGGGTTTAGAGTGGCTAATGATGCAGCTGTGGTCTGGCTTCTGGTTTGTGGTCGTGCCTCATCATCGGTGTGGGTTTGGGTTTGCTTTTTGCGTGGATGTGTGGTGGTGACATCCTGTGTGGTTTTTGTGAGTGTGGGTCTGGTGTCATTCTTTGTGTTAGGGACTCGTTTATCAATAAGGGCGGGTTTCCAAATGGCTGAAAGTTGGGAGGTATCACCCAATCAGAACACAGCCAAGCTCTCACCCAATCAGTTCATACCCCCACTGGCAGTTAAAAGGAGGAAACAGCTACGATCACACATTGCTCCTAGAAGCACGAAGCCGAAAACACCAGCCTGAAGATGACGAATGAGACTTCGTCGAAACGTCGCCAAGACACTTCCAATTTGACGCGGGAGAAAACCCGAATAACCAAAGACCTACATACAAACACCCATGAAAACCTCAGAAAACACACACACACACACACAAACACAAACATATATCATCTCATAAAGGTAAAAAAGGATATATGCAGTGTTATCTTCATTTTAGATATCAAAAGGGTCTCTCTCTCCCTCCCTCTCTCTCCCTCTCTTTCTTTCTGCCCTTGGTCTGCCAGTCCTCTTCCCCCACTCTCTTTCTCTCTCTCTTCCCCCCCCTCTCTCTCCTTCCCTCTCTCTCTTTCTCTCTCTTTCTCCCCCCCCCCTCCGATCTTCTGCTCACCTGGCAAGCTGGCTTCAAGCTGTTCTCCAACAAGCTCAGAGGTAGGCAACCTCGGCTCTTTTATGACTCATGGACTTCAATTCCCAGAATTCCTGAGTCAGCATAGCTGAGCTAGCTAGCTCTCTCCTGCCCTTCCTGCTTCCTCAGAGATGCAGCAAAGGGAGGAGCTCCGCCCTAAAAGATTTTCAGCTTGTCGGAGAACACAGTGAGTCCATTCTCTTTTACACACACACACACACACACACACACACACACACACACACACACAAACACACACATAAACACAAAGACAGAGACAGAGAAGCAGGGAAACGCAAGTGCCTCTCTCTGTCTCTGTCTGCAAATGGCAGAGGAGGCTGGGAGCCACAGGGGAAGGCTCAAAGAGCCGCATGCGGCCCCGGAGCCTCATGTTGCTGGCCTGTGGTATAGGGCCAGTGGAGGTTAGGGGGATGGGTTATCTGGGAGGAGTTATCTGGGAGGAGTTCAAGCCTGTCGACTTGAGGAAGAGGACAGGGTTCTTGCTGCTATCAGTTCGGCCACCTCTGTGTTAGATTGGGGCCTCTCCTGGATAGTCAAGGCTACCTGGGAGAAGATGTGTGATTGAACCTGGGCAATGGTTGCAGGTAGTCCTCAACTTACAATCATTCATTTAGTGACCGTTCAAAGTTACAATGCACTGATAAAAGTGACTTAGGACCTCTCCTCTCATTTAATTTCTTCATGAGGTCGCTGGGTGACGTGATCCGACAGTTTGGAGTGAGTTATTAGCTGGTTTTATTGGCACCTTTGGATTATAATATCTCTTTGTTTCTGTTTGTATTTAATTTTAATTTAATTTATTTTTTTCTTTTTATATTGTGTTTTAACTGGTTAACTGTTTCTGTGATGGTTCATTAGCCATAGTCACCTATCTGAGATAAATTGAATAAATAAATAAGATAATACTTTATAATTAGAACTAGACCATGTTGCACAATTAAAATAGAGCTCCTCAGTTATTATTTGGCGATCTGCCTATCTAGATCTTCTACTCTACTTTCAATTCCCCCAGTTTTCCATCTGCTGGAGCAAGTAATACTCTTATCTTATCCTTCAACAGCTGTTGGTGTCTTTTTTTCCAGTGTGGGCTGGCAGAAACTGCAGCTGAATGTCTGTTCGGGCTGTTTTAAAAAACTTACACTGTGATATGATCTCTGGGTTATATCCAAGCATTTTTTTTTAACAATAAGTATTTAAGCTAAATACTAAGTTTTGCTTAGTCAAAACCAGAGGAAAACCAGCTTCACTGAATCTTATTCTCAAACCTGCCTGCCTGTATACAAAAGGTTACAGCTTTTATAGAAACTGTAGTGTTGCAACAAATATGCAAACTTAACAAACTACTTTTTAAGTTTCCTACTATTAAAACAAATTGAGAAAAAGGAGGAGCTGCATAATTTTGCCAAAAATTAAGATTGCTCTTGATTGGGATTGCTCATGAATTGCATGATAATTTTATTACATTTATGTACCCGCCCAACTTCCAGTAGCTCTGGGCGGTTTAACAAATATTTGTTAAAATATTTAAAAAAGCAAAGAACAATAAAGAAAACCTATTAACAACACAAGACAAAGGGACAACAGTGGTAGAGAGAAACAGAAAGGAAGAAAGGGGTATCAGCTGTATTCTTCAAAGGCCTGGACAAAGAGCCAGGACTTTAAGGCCTTTCAAAATCCCAGTAGGGTGGATGTTATTTGAATTCCGGGCAACCCCATTCCAAAGGAGGGCAGGCACAGCAGAGTAAATACACTTGTATATTCAGTAGATGCCATTGCTTAATTGATGGAAACTGATGCATGCCAATCCTGCCAGATTGAACCTGTTGGTCCGACACTACAGGAACTAAAGTACGGGTATCTGTTAAAAAAACCTAACATCCCTTTCCTGTAATTTAGTGATTATATATATTTTTTATTAAACAACATACTAGTAAAGTGACTATCTAATGGTCATATATGTCATCTTGGCACCTATTGGTAACAATTAGCTTTCCAAACTGCTTTCTGAGAGTACCTGTTTAGAAATAGATTTGAATCTTTTCTGTGCTAATCTCCAACCATATTTCGGCTTATAAAGCTTACCAAGCCTGAGCCAATGTGTGTATTTGCCAACAGTAAAGTTAAAAAGAAGAATGTGATTTTCAAAGGTGCTTATAGTAGGCATTTTTAGGATTTTTTTTTTTCATTTTGTAACAACTTTCGCTGATTCTTTCTTTTGCATATAGGTTTGGGGAAGATGTTGCTGTCCAGATCCAGCGGAAATGGTTTCTGTACCCTTCAGAGAACATACTGGTATGGAAAAAGAGTTACTCATTTGAAAGCATATTTTCAGTGAAGAGAAACTTTAATTCTGAACAATACATCCAAATTCAGAATTCCTGCTATCCATAATTCTGTCAAAGTGGATGCAAAAAGCTGCTGTCCAGAACACTTTGTCATCTGGAATCTCAGAAATGGTGGCAATAATTGAAGTTACTATCAGAGATGCTTTTTATTAACGCTGTCTTGATGAAGTTAGGAGGGTAAAACTTTTGGGTTCAGCTAAGGAGAAGAATGATGAGGTAACCTCATTATTCATTATGTCATTATATTAAGATCACTCATAAGATATTGGAATATCATTGTTGACCATTTCCCTTTAGATTTATTTTTAAACGGTGAACTTATTTCTATGTTACTATTATCTTATAGGATTTTTAAAAAGGCAGTAAAGTTCAAAGGTCTTCATTTTAGACTGTTGATACTGTTAAAAAAAGTTTAAACTACCCAAATTCTAATCTCAGGCAAGATTAAATCTGTTGATTAAATAACAGAAGTCTTGCAAGAGCTTTGCTTAGTCCAGTGATAGCAAACCTTTTAGAGACCGAGTGCCCAAAAACCACCCCCCCCCGCTCTGCCTCCCGCCCTGCCTGCTCTGCCCCTGCCTGCCCCGCCCACCCATAGGGCCATGCACCACCTCCATGGCCCGCTGCAGATCACCCAGGCAGCCCTGCAGCACCATGGCAGCCATGGCCTCTGCCCACAACCTGCAGCATCATCTGCACACTATGGGGTGCGAGGGCGGAGTCTTGTCCCTGCTGTCCAGCTGCCATGTCTTTGGCTGTGCTGCTCTGTGCAGGCCACGCCCGGGGGAGACTCCCCTCTAGGGGGGCTGCTGGTGAGGAGGGGGCCACAGGGGGAGGCGGGGCTGGGGTGATGGTACGCGTGCCCACAGAGAGGGCTCTGAGTGCCGCCTCTGGCACGCATGCCATAGGTTCGCTACCACTGTCTTAGTCTATCAACTTCTTCCTGTTTCAGACTTGTCCCAAGTGCATCCTACCATTTTTTCCCTTTCAAATAGTGTTACAGATTATTAATAAAAGTTTTACAATTTAATAAAAACGAAGCCAGACACTTTAACCCAACTTACCTAATTAATAACATTTCAGTCTGTTTGCCTTGGCTCCTTGCCCTGATATATATAGGCCTCTAATCTTATCTATAAATGCTTCCTTTCCCTTTTAGCAGGGCTTCTGCCTTTACAGTTCCAGGCCAAGGATACAACCTTAAAGACCCTTTTTATTACTCATTCAATTTCACCTTGAGTGGAGGCAAAAGTTAATCAGTAATGTTTGAGATTCCTGGAAAGCAGATATCTGACTCCTGTTACTTTTGATTGCAAGGTCATGTTCAGAAGTTTAGGCTCTTCTACAAAAAACGAGCAATCTAAGTGTAGCAGACAAGAGTTTCATTTTTTTTTAAAAAAATTGATGGTGTATTGATGGAATTTGTGCGTACTAAAACAGAGCTTGCAGTGGCATATTAAACTTCCCAAAAAATTTGATCCATGTGCTCTGGTTATATTACAGTCCTGGAGACCAAATTCATTCTGGCTTTAAAGGCCCAAATGGTTTTGGTTTTTGTTTTAAGAAAAGGAACAATTCATCTGAAAAGTTTGCTTGCCTCTGCTTTTAGGGAAATATTTTTCCTTTTTCGAATAATAATCCAGAACGTGCTTTCCTGTTGACTTTATTTTGAAAGTTTCAGAAGCTTGCTACATGTGAACGCAGGCTGCTCTCAAAAACAAAGCCGAATTCTGCCGAGCCAAGAGAAGACTAGCCAAGGACAAACTCTTGCGTTAGAGATCCGGCAAACTGCCCTCTAGGTTGCATGTTCACACTTTTCTCTCGGAAAATAGGAAACTGCCCTTCTGTTTAAGAAAATTTATTGGAAAGTAGGCTAGGGGGTTTCTTAGGTTTTGTTGCTTGGAGACCAGAAAAGAATTCCCTTTGCTTCCTGGCAGCCTCCTTTAATACTTTCTCCCCCTCTTCCTTCCAGTAATGGATTTCTACAGTTTCCTTTGCCGTTGCCTTTCTGTGTTGCAACACAGGCTTTGTACGTGTGGAGCATAATTCAGCACATTCAAAAAGGTCACAGTTGTGACCCAGCACATTTAAATGACACTGGGACACCTTTTCTTAAATTGCTGCTTGCAGAATAGAGTATGTGCTTTCTAGGATCAGAAAGGACTCAACCATGGTGAGCAAAACCTAGTGCCAATCGTCCCGTCGGCATGCACAGCAAAAGAAACTCCTGGGACATTTTTTTATTATCAAGAGTAAAACTTTACTGATAGATCCATACAGGCACAGAGAAAAAAAAAAAGCTAGTTCTGAGGTTTGAGCGCGAAGTGCAATATAATAAAACCCCCTTTTCCTTCCCCCAAGCTGCCCAACGTCCATTGTCCACCAATCCAGGTCAAGCATTTTATTTTGGGAAAACAGTCTACACCTTTCGAAAGTCTTCAGCTCACGACCTTGGGGTTGTAAGATTTTTCTACAGCTGAAAACAGCTCAGGTGAATTCCTTTTTTTCTCTCCCACCTTCCCACACATTCCAATCATATCCCTCCCCCCTCCCGTGTTTCTTTCTCAAGCTGCCAGCAGAAAGAGGTGTTTTGCGAGTCAACCTTGACACCCAGTTTGAAAACCATTTGTCATTACCATCCATGAAGAACCGAGGGGTAAAATAGCTTTGGCAGGCTGATGAAAATTCTGCCGGGGTAACCTGAAGCTCTTTAGAACATAGAGCAATCCTGCTAGAAGGGATCAAGCAAGCATCCGTCTGGTTTGGCCCACTGCTTTTGTGGGTCACAATCATTTAGTTCCAGAAACTGTGCAAACTGGGTAGCAGTTCAGCTGAACAGCTGATCCATGTTCCTTGTCCCTAATGTTCAGAGATACAGATTCTAGCTTCTTATTAGGTTATTTTCCAAAATATGTCTCTTTTCCTCCCTCTCTTTTTAGAGATCTCTTAAGATAATAGATATCATATTGTCTTTGTTTGGGAAACTACGACATAATCACTGATCTTTCATTAAGAAAGCTTAGCTTGTGTGTGGTGTTTCTGGGTGTACATGTCTTCTTAAAGTACTGTATTTTGGCCCTTTTTTTTCCCTTACAGGTTAAGAGAGATGACTTGGAGAAACTGTCCTCCCACTTATTGGGTGCGGCACCCCTTCTGTGCCCACAGCACTTGGAACAGTGCTGGCAGCAGGAGGCGCAGGCTCATGGTAGCGGCAGGGGCAGGCCTGGGTGTGTGCAGCATCTTGGCTTATGGAAACCGCCATTGGCAGGTGAGGGAGTGAAAGATGGCACAGCATGTCACCCAGGAATGGAATGAAACGTGGAAGGCTTGAGGCTGCAAATATTTGCCTCTCTCCCGCCTTTTTTTTACCTTGAGGCAGATGCCGGAGACAGCTATTTTACTGCTTAAAACTCGTGAAATTGCACCCCCATATAGGCCCTGGCATCCCCTATTTTTGGAGTATGGCCTGGACATTTCAGATCATGTCTGGTAGGGCTTTTGAGCTGAGAGAAATATCTCTGGGTACTGTCAGTGAAGATTCTGAGTCATCCAGATAGAATTATCTGGAAGTAGAGTCATGGCAGCTGGACTACGTTTAGCTGTCCATCCAAGCAGCTTCTTCAGTCTGAGCAATTTGGTCGGGGGAATCTGAGTAGGCAGAGAGTCGTTGGAATGTGCCAACTCTAAATCCCCGTGTACTGCTCCTTTCCTGATTGCCTTTTTTGATTTTCTCGCAGGCAGCCACAGTTGAGTCCCCAACGGCCACACCTGCCGCCTCACTCCCTCGCTTTTCTCGAGAAGAGGTGGCCCGCCATCATAACGAAGCAAATAGGGTGTGGGTGACTTATGGCAGTGAAGTTTTTGATGTCACCGATTTCTTAGAGCTTCACCCTGGGGGCAAAAGTAAGATTCTTCTGGCAGCAGGTGGGGCTTTGGAGCCCTTTTGGGCTCTCTATGCTATGCATAAACAAGATCATGTCCAAGAAATCCTTCGGGAATATAAAGTAGGAGAACTGAGCCCAGAAGAGCCTCCTCTGCCAAGCCCAGATGATCCTTACGCCAACGATCCTCCGCGCCACCCTGCCCTCCGAGTCAATACCCTCAAGCCCTTCAATGCAGAACCTCCTCCAGAGTTACTGGCAGAATATTTTTTGACCCCTAACCAGCTCTTCTTCAAGCGCAACCATCTCCCAGTGCCGCTTGTGGACCCTGAAACCTACCGCCTGTGTATTCAGAGTCCCTCTAGACAGACCCTGTCCTTTTCTTTGCAAGATCTGAAACAGAATTTTCCAAAATATGAGGTTACCGCTACCATACAGTGTGCTGGCAATCGCCGGGCAGAGATAAACGCCATCCAGAATACCACCGACTCGGGTGGAGCACTGGGGCTATTAGCAATGCCCGTTGGGGTGGTGCCCGGCTTCGGGATGTTCTAATGCAAGCTGGGTATCAACCAGGGTATGAGGGTCATGTCTCCTTTGAGGGCCTGGACAAGGATCATAGTGGCACTGTATACGGAGCCTCCATCCCTTTTCAGAAAGCTATGAGTCCAGATGGGGATGTTCTCTTGGCATATGAGATGAATGGGGAGGAGCTGCCTCGAGATCATGGGTTCCCTCTGAGAGTTATTGTGCCAGGAGTGGTGGGGGCTCGTAGTGTAAAATGGCTGGCTCGGATTACAGTGGGGCCAGAGGAAAGCAAGAGCCACTGGCAGCAAAAGGATTACAAAGGATTCTCTTCGTCCGTAACCTGGGAGACAGTGGATTTCTCCAAGGCACCTTCCATTCAAGAGATGCCCATCCAGTCTGCCATCACTGAGCCATCTTCTAAGATGTCTGTCTCTCCTGGAGAGCTCACAGTGAAGGGCTATGCCTGGAGTGGTGGGGGGCAGAGGGTGATCCGTGTAGATGTCTCCCTGGACGGTGGGAAAAACTGGAAAGAAGCAACACTAACTGGTGAAGAGCAGCTGCTTGGGCAAGCTTGGGCTTGGAAGCTTTGGCAGCTGGATGCTTTTGTGCCTGCGGGAACCAAGGAGTTGAACATCGTCTGCAAGGCTGTGGACACCAGCTACAATGTGCAACCTGAGCGTGTGAAACCACTCTGGAACATTTTGGGAGTACTCAACAATGCTTGGCATCGGGTCTGTGTCCCCGTGGAAGAGGATTGAGAGGCCTGATTGGGCCTAGAAGCCTTGAGGACTGCATCTTGGCTTCTCTATATTTTTCTGCTGCTGCAGGGACATTACCCCCTGCCCCCTGGAAGAAGCCAAGAAGAAGGGCTGAGTCCTCGAACAGGGGTCTGGTGATTTCTGGGCTTCTTTCCTCGTTCCCTATGCAATTCCTGTGAATGTAGCATTTTGGAGCTAAGGCAGGGATGGGCAGCTATGGCCTTCAACTCCCAGAATTCCTGAACCAGCCGTGTATCATGCCGGTCTAAGATATCTATCTACCTCTAAGGGTGTGGTAGTCCCAGAAGTGTTGATGGCTCTCCTTCACTTAGCTTTCTATTTAACTGAGACCCCCTTTGTTCAGGAATTTTGGATTTGTACTTTTTAAACTCTTTAGAATTCTTTTAGTTGTCAAAAATTACCAACTTGTTTGCTGGCTGGAGATCTTTTTTAGGGTTCCTCTCTAAAGAGAAGAGATTTATTAACTGTATTAGATCACTTGATGCTAAAGAATCCACCACTTTAGGAACATGAGCCAATTTATTATCTAGCTTTCTCTTTTCAGTGTGATGCCAACTTCGGCATTGCCATATTTAGTTCTTCAGATATTTTATGGGAGAATGTGAGGAGTTGATATTTCTTCCATCGTAACACTGAGGAGTATTGGAAACTTAGCATTTTCCTCTAAAGACCCGGGAGCCTTGCCCCATATCATGTCTGCCGAATAGTTCTTGCTGCATGAATACATCACAGCAACTCTTCCTGTAAGCTATTATTCTGGGCAGGTTTTGCAGTTGCCTAGAATCCATAATATTGGAGTAAGAAACCTGATATTCCCAACTGCTTTGATCTGTTCTCAAGAAACACAGACTTGCTTATGCCTGACTTAGTGGTTTCCCCTCTTGTATTTCAGATGGTGGTGTGTTGTAAGCTTTGTCAAGATGTCTTCATTAACTTTGCTGCAATAATTTTATTTATTTAGTAAACAAATTTAGACAGCTGTCCAACTCACACAGGTGTGAGTTACAAGATTTTAAAAAATCCACCATATAGCAAAACCCATCCAACCCCACCCCCATGGCAGCAACAGCACAATAAAATCAGCCATTTGATCAGCTCCATCTTCTGTTCAGGGTCCCCAGGCCTGCTGACAAAATCACACTTTTAGGGCTTTTTGGAAAAGCAGCAGGGTGGGGACCACCCATACCTTTTGGGGAATAATATTCCATAAAGAAGGGGCTACCAGTGAGAAGGCCCTTTTTCGTGGTCCCACCGGGTAACAATCCCTAATTGATTGGACCTCTAACATGCCCTGCCTTCCTGTCCTGGTGGGCTGGGTGTAATTTCTTAGTTTTGTTAATGCAGATTCTTACTGCTGAAATAAGAGCTGTTTCTAATTCCTCATTCTTACCTAGAATAGGTTTGTTGTTCGAGATGCAAAACTTAATAGGATTCTTGAACCATTGGCAGTCTGGGGGAGAAGAGTAGATTTCATCAGCTATTATCCTCACTAGAATTCTTTTCTGTCTGGAGACCTACCCGTGTTCCTTATTTATAGAGAAGGGCCCGGACATGCACTTTAAGAAACATTTTAAATTAACTCTCCTGAGCCAGCAGGTTTCACGGAGAGAATGGATCAAGATGAGAGACTGCCACATAAGGGGATCCTGTTTTATGAAAACAGCCAGCACAGGAGGCCTTTGGGTAGAAAAAGTTAACACTTTCTTTGCCTAGCTTGAGCTTCACAGAGGGGTTCCTATTGCCACGTGAGCCGCTGATCCTGGTGGTAGCAAATATTTAATTTTTGTTCCAGGCCATGCTGGGATCAATTTTTGTACAAAGAAATCTTCTCTCTGCCATCTTGAGCATGTTGTATCTTCCTGTCACCTTTCTTGATACAGGCAGTCCTCGACTTAACAACCATTGATTTAATGATGGTTTGAAGTTACAATGGCACTAAAAAAGTGACTTGTGACCATTTTTCATACTTATGACCATTACAGCACCCCATGGTGATGTGATCAAAATTCAGGTGCTTGGCAACTGATTCATATTTATGACAGCTGCAGTGTGACGCGATCACCCTTTGCCACCTCTGACAAGCAAAGTCAGTGGGGAAGCCAGATTCACTTGACCGTGTTACTAACTTAACAACTGCTGTGATTTGCTTAACAACTGTGCTGTAAAACGGGACAAAACTCACTTAACAACAGACTTGCTTGACAACAGAAACTTTAGGCTCAGTTGTGGTCGTAAGGCGAAGACTACCTGTACTCATGATATGTCACAATCAGCAGCATAGATTAGACCCAGTTCAAATTCAGAATTGAATTATTTAAGGTTCTAGAGCTGTAAAAAAAAATGCCACCTAAAAAAAAATTGCCACCTATAGGTGGAATGCCACCACAGAGAAAATTGTTCCCTGCTTGTGACCCATTGATTTTTATTTGGTACTAGCACCTTTAGAAGAAGCGGTAACCATGAATCTTGCATATAACCAGACTCTTCACCTGTCCAAAATCCAAGGCTCAGCATTGAGCACTGAAATTGTATTTAGAAAGGGAAAGAAAGCTGTGGAACTTCCTATAAGGTGCTAAACCATAGTTTAACTATGAGCTAACAAACCATAAATGGTGCTATATGACTCATGAAGCTATGAACCATATTTTATTACTGTCAATGTCTCAGTTCATAAAACATTCTGGTTCAAACCCAAACCCTCCACGCAATATCTCAAGTTGACATTGGGCCGAGTTCCTTTTCGCTGCCCAGCATTGAATTTTTGTTACATTACTCTTTGTTTCCTTCCACTCAGGGCCATTCTGCTTGAGAGCCCTAGATCAAAACAGCTGGGGGGGAGGCATCAAGTTTGCCTGCAGGGGGTCCTGCAGAAGCTCTCCTGCAAGATTGCTTTGTTGCTCTGGGCACCAGCTCAAGCCGGCAGCTGGATTGATTCCTCCAGGTTGATTGATGAGCTTGTCTGCAGTTCCCCTGCATGTCAGCACAGCAGCACTGCTGTATCAATCCTCAGCATGAAATTTGATGGTAGAAAAAGGGGTTTATGGAGGGAGAGCATTGCTGTGGATGTATTGTCCTCCCGTCTTTGATAGGCTAAAACAAAAAAACCCAGAATGAATAAGTATCAGATGAAAATTTTCTTATAACACTTTCCAAGCTCTGGAATTTTGTGTGTGTGTGTGTGGGGGAAGCATTCATCCTCCCATAAAAAGAGGTTTGTGTGCTTTTTTTAACGCTTGGGTTTTTTTTTTTTTAAAAAAGGATACTATTTGCTGCCTCCTGTTCGATTATTCTCTCTCTTGTTGGGGGACTTGTGGAAATTCTAGGGCTAGATGGATCTTCCTCACTGCCACCATGCTAGAGCACTTTGTAAGGGGAAAACAATCAGGAATCGTCTTACTTTTGCAGAGCTAACTACATTTTGCAAGTCGTTCCCACAAATTCTCCTGTTTGGTTATACCTTGGATCCTAGGAACACCAGTGATGAAGAATGGACCTTTCAGTAATTCAGCAACAGAGGCTAACTCCATGTTAGCTGATGTTGGACCATGATGAGACTCACTGTCAGGCAAAAATTAACTGGTTGGAAATGGTGGAATGCAGAGCAGAACCTCAAGCGGTGCTGCATCGAGAAAGCTGGTTTGATACGGCATCGTGATTCAAGCATTATTTTGGGAAACCCAGTACAAACATGTCTTGGATAAGAGCCAATACACATGGAATCTCCCAAGTCAAAATTCTGAAATTTTGAAATGAGGAACTTGCAATATCTTTTCACCATTAATGGAGACCAACCCAAGTTAAGCCTTTCTGTTCTCTGGCTGAAGTCACTTTCTGAAAAAAACTGGAAGGCTAATGTTAGAGGGTTTTTTTTTGTTTGTTTCTTTTGTTTTTAACTTCCTTGGTTGTATTTATTACATGGCAAATAAGGTGGGTGTGTGGCTTTAAGAGATTCCACTGTGAAGATTGGATTTCTCTCACTGTTGTCCTCCCTTTGGGATTGATCTGGAGAAATTCTCCAGATTGTTTCACAAAAACTAGACAATAAAAACCTGGACAATACATATACTGAGATACAAATTAATACATAACAGATTGATACATAACTGAAATAATATTTTTGCTATAATAATGTGATGACAGCCCAGAGTTCTCCTTTCTGAATTGACCTAGTACAGTGTTTCCCAAACTTGACAATTTTAAGGCATGAGGACTTCAACTCCCAGAATTCCACAGCTGGCTGTGGAAGTCTGGGAGTTGAAGTCCACATGCCTTAAAATTGTCAAGTTTGGGAAACACTGACCTAGTATAATGGAATGTGTGGACGACCTTGGGGATGAAGGAAAAAGATGCTACATAAGAAACAACCAGACAAGAGAGAGAGCTTAATAATCAGAGGAAGAAATTTAGGAAGAACCTGCCCTACCTAATTGATCAGCCAGTTAAAAGTGACGGCAGGGAGTTTGTACCTTCAGACTTGCAAGATTCTTTAACGTAGCCTTACAATAAAGTAGAATTCGTTCATCTAGTCCTGTTTCTAGTCTGGTTTATGGGGGGGGTGGGAGAGATACTTAAGAGCATGTACTCCTCCTTTATAAGCATCCTTGATCAAGAAGCTGTTTCAGGACCTTAAAAAGAGTCCAAGGAAGAAGGGAACTGCCTTTTTATTTTCTCCTGCCCAATGCTAATTTTCTCAGTTCCATTGCACTCTAGCCAATGGGGAAACCCCAGAATCAAACAGGTACAATGAAGAAGAGATTAAGGTGATGAAACATCTTGTCTCAAACGTGTCTCAAAATGATAAGTCAGTGAAGAAGTCATTTCTATAGTGCTTAGGGCTATTCCCTCAAGTAGATGTTCTGTTGCCTAAGGAGATTTAGCTAATTAGCCATAAAGAACAATCAACAGTAGTGGGGATGACTAACTTAGTGCTCTTACCACGTGTGTTTCAGTTCTCAAAATCTCTTTAGCCTTGAGTGGTGATTGTAAGGGCATCAAGCGGGCTATGAACTCTAACTATGGTAGAAGACTGTCCAGACTGCTGGCTGTGAAGGGGTCAAGGGTCTTGTCTACTCACTATGGTTGATCCTACAAGACAGACTTTTCCAAGTTGATACCTTGGTTGACTGGGGATGTTGAAAGTTCTATACATTTGTGTTGCATCACTTTAAAGAGAGACCTTGGGAAATGCCACGACATCTATAAGCAAATGTTATTTTCTTTTGGTTGGTTTTAAGAATGATAGAATTGACAACCTGTAAAATACTGTGAGAACTTGTAGGTATATCAAGTTGTAGAATCTACTTCTCTTCATAGCAAGTGCAGTTTTATCCAATGGAACTTTCTTATCCTGTATGGCAGGCTATGGAAATTTCTGTCTTTGCAATGTAAACAGACCAGCTGATCTACACAGCAGCTGAGAAGAAAGATCACTCAATTGGCCAGATAAATGGTAATCCTCTGGATATTATTGTGTTCTGAGCAGTCTGCAGAAACCAGTATAGTGGTTCCTTATATTCTGTTTATGATCTGTCTTCATTCCAAACTTATATAGAAAGCTGATGCTTTTCAGCAAAATAGTTCATTTGTTGTGTTACATTTGAAAGACCTCCCACTCCCCAATAGTACTTATTAAAAATTCTACCTTGTTTTGCATTCCATATTTGTATACTCTTTCTTCTGTTATAAGTTATGGATGCTGATTTTTTGCTCTCATTAGATAAGAAACAGCCAGGGATGAAACTATAAGATTGCCATTTTGTAACAAAAAACTGCTGTTGTTTTTTCAATTATGTTGTTACACTACACCAGGGAACTCAACCTGTGATTGATTGATGGATTTTGCTCCCTTTGAATCAGTGTTGAATCGTGGTAAATGCCTGGGCTAGTTAATGTTGGCAAAATTTTCAGAAGTAGCTTGCCATTCTCAGAGCTGGCCCAAAGTCACCCAGCTGCCTTTAAGCCTCAGGCAGGACTAGAAATTATAAAAACAGAATATTTTTTGACCCCTAATTGAAAACCTGATGTCCATCAATTTATTGTTCCTCCTTCATTAAGAGTTGTTTTTAAAGGTGGTCCATTCAGAGGCTCATTGTTATATACAAATTCAGAAAACTGAGTTGAATAAACCATGGTTATTAACCATTAGTGAACATTATATAAATATAAACTTTGGGATATGGTATGTCCCAATATGCATATATATTGGATTATACTAGGTGCGCTGTGATTATTAGAGGGCTAGAACCTTTTTTTAAAGATGCCATTGTTAAAACTTTAGTAAAATAATGATCCCATCATAGACCAAAAATAGAAGAGACACGTGTTCAATTCACGTATTATCTGGTTTTAAACCTAGTAGGTTGTGGGAACCCTACCCCTATGGATTATGCTTAACCAAGTGTGAGTTCAACCTTAATATGAAGCTTGAACTCCAGCAAAAACTAGCCAGCCTATATAGCTGCAAGTTCCCTATAGTGTTTTATTTAGCATACACAAATCTCTGAGAATGACCTTAACCACAGATAGTAGAGTAAGGAAATTGACCATGTTGGAGATACAACCTGCCATTAGATACAACTAGCAGCAGTGTTTCTCAACCTTGACAATTTTAAGGCATGTGGACTTCAACTCCCAGAATTCCACAGCCAGCAGTGCTGAGTTGAAGTCCACATGCCTTAAAATTGTCAAGGTTGAGAATTAGGCGGAAGTGGCTGAAGCACTTTTAAAGTCCAAAACAACTGGATAACATTTGGAAGCAGCTCTGATAGATACTCCCTAATTCTCTTCATATAAGAAGGGGGAGGATATCTAGCACAACCAGACTTGTTATTATTCTGTTATAGCCATTTCAACTAAAGTAATTTTAGCCTTTTAGGGGAACTAATTTCCTGGTCTGGTCTACCAAATGGGGCCAACTAACCATATTACTCCAAAAAAAAAGATCTGGAATTGTCATTGGTAAACCAAATGTTGCCTGGCTATGCCAAATTAGGCTGAGTTAGTGTCAGAGAACTCTAGTATGAAAATAAACAGTTGCCTAATGTACTAGAGGCGAAAAGATTGCTTTTGCCTCAGAATATATTGCAGTTTGTCCCCAGTGACTTAAAAAAAAAACCACATAAAAAAAAGGAACAGTGTATGGTGTAATTTGAAGACAGTCATGATTCTGTTTCCCTCCTAGGACTGATGTGTTTGAAGTGAATCTTGAATTTAGATCAAAGAGATTCTCAGACAAAGGTAACATAGATTATATCATCAGTGCTGCTGCTCTGTCCTATTTATATGTGGGAGAAAGTGTTTTAATTAGCTTATTCATCAGCAAAAACCTCCAAAGAGGGTCACAGCACACACAGGATGAAAATAATCACTTTTAATATATTCCTCAGACAATGCTGCCAGCTTCAAAAAGAATCTTAAAATTGGTTGGGAAACAAATTTAAATTTATTGCTAAGCATAGTTATTTATGTGCTTGTGGGCTATTTGCCTTTCCAATTACCCTATGAATCTGAGTATAATAATTAATATGAACAAATGAGAACTTCTACAAGCTTCGTACTTAAATATACATTTAATCCTAATCTATCACAAATATGAAAAAAATTACAATATTTGTCACCTAGGAAATGATCCTATAATGTCCAATTTTATACCTCTGAAAATTAGTATTTTCTGAAGACTTAATTCTCTTCCACCCACAGTTATTTCTATGGATTAGGTAATCATAATTCTAAACTGTATAAAAATAGGTTCAGCAGTTAAATACAAAAAATATCAATATATATCTCCAGGAGATAGGTTTCCATTAAAAATACGGACTTGCTTATTGTTTGTCTTCATCACATCTTTTCAAACCATCACAGCACCAGGTACGCTATTGAAGACAATTCCTTATTCCTAACACTGATTTATACTGTTTGAAATATTATCCATTTGAACTGACTTTTGGGTTGATTTAATGTGAAATTTGGGGATTTTCTTATACGATCCTGCTATCGGTACTTTTCAAATCAGAGATCTTATAATCAACTGGTAATTTTAAGGCTTTGTGAGGGAATAATATTTAAAATTTACATCTCATGGCTCGGTAAGTTAGAATTTAGTCCATTTTTTTTAACTGGACATTTTCACACTGCCAACCTCTTCTGTTCCCCAATCCCTCAAAGCAGTTTGAAAACTTTGGTGAATTTGCAACTGTGTCAACAAGAATCAGTGCACCTCAGAATAAAAAAGGGGGTAGAAGGAGAGGCTTGAGCAGCAGTACTTCTATCAAACCATCTCCAGGACAGGGTGAAAATAGCTTGTTTCCCCTATTCCCATCTCAGGGAGTGCATGAGTTTTTCCCACATATGAAGAGTCCAGTTTTAGAAACCTGACTTCTTAGGCCCCCATGGCTGGAATTAACTGCCAGAGGGTTTTTCGGGCTTAGGTTCGCAAGCTTATACATATGCCCTGTTATTCAAACAGCAAATAGTTATTTATAATTTAAAAAGCCATCTAAATCCATAAAGACTCTAGGACCACGAACCGTATAGCATTTCAGAACAGTTAGATAGATCCAAAATAAAAAGAACAATATAACGTCCAGATTTAAAAAGGAACAAAAACTTTGGAGCTAGTATCAAATTAAAAGAGACTCCTACCACGGATCCTAATCCAATGTCGGGGGGGGGAGGCTTTCGGACTTTTTGAAAAACGGGCAGGATGAGACCCAAACGGATCGGCAAGGAGACGGGATGAAGGTTCTTGGAACCCTTCAGTGACATTCTTTGATCGATGAGAACGGAGCCCGCCAACTCGGTCCAATCATACAGGTCGGGCAGAAACCATCGGGTTCCCAAAAGTAAATTAATTTATTTAATCTGGAACAATTTCGTGATGGGGAAACGTTCAGTCTCGGGCAACAAAAGCAAGGCGATCACGTGGCTCCAAAACACTACAAAATCCCTACCGGGATCTGAGAACTTGAAAGTCACAACTGTTCTCGTCGTTATTACTCATTTCTTGGAATTGACCTTCTCTACGATTCTTGTTGGTTTCTACTTCCAGTGAATTCGGGCTGATCGCTTGCACGGGAATCAAACTGGTGGGGCGCAGGAAATGTAAATTCACACGCTATTATATTAGCAAAAGAGTAAATCAAGAAACATAAACTTTGCGTTGTTGCAAAAGAAAAACGGCATTTAATTATTATTAATTTACGCATAGATACAAACAATAGAAGCTGCCCGGACCCTACAAGACTGGCCTGTTTACAACTTTAAAAATAGGAAACAGTAACATAAGAAACTAAAGTCTTAAGACACATTCGGATACTGATTAATATACAGCATTTCTCTTTTTCAGGGGAAACCCACGCATTCAATTTTACGACAGAATTTGCGCTTGAGGAATCAGCCGTCGAATCGCAAGGCGGCATACATTCCTAAGACTTGACTCTTGCCTCCTATTTTTGTTTAGGCTTGGGACAGATAGAAAGCCCTGAGGTCTTAAGAGCTATCTGTTCCACTTAGTTCCCACTATTACAGGATGGATTGACAACCGTAACTCTATTAAGGAGCAAGACGGGGATATTTGATCGCAACCACCGTTATTAATGAAGCGCATACACTGTATTCGGCTCCCAGACACGCCCCACCGCTTTCTTTTACTATACTAGCGCCTCCTCTCGATGCTCTCGAAGTTCGGCTGCGCTGCCTTCTCTTTCCTCTCATCATTCCAAACGCCGGTGCTTCTTTAACATGCTAATCGATACGCTAGGCATTCGGGTTTGTGCCTGCAATTCAGGAATCTCCGGATCGCGGCTCTTTCTCACCCTTCCTGGCTACTACGTTTCTTTCACATCTCTCCATCGATCGGCTCGGCCTTCCACCCACTCTCCTTACAACGGAATGAGTCCCTCGGAGCGTGTTCGATGCACTCCGTGCTCACCCACCCCCTGACGGAACGATACCCTGGGCGCTTTCTCTGACCACTCGAGCTTCTCGACGCTCTTCTTCCCGTGCCTGTTTCCTAGCAGAGGGACCGGAAGTAGCTCGAGGAGGGGAGGGGGGCTTGGTCCCTCCTCAGGTGAAGGCGCTGCTGATGGAGCCGCCGTTGCGGAGCAATTGAGCCCCCCTCCAGCGCCCCCCACCCCCCCTCCCAGCGGCTGGGCCGGGGGGGCCCTCCCCATAACGAAGCGACCGGACTTGGAGTCCCGCAATTCAGGTGAGGAGGAAGTGGCACGGTGTACGGGGGCCGGCCGGGGACAACGAGCAGAGAAAAAGCCGGAAAAGTGAGGGGTCGGAAAGTGGGGTTGAGGTAGTAGAGGGGGGAGGGACAGTTGGGGCAGCTCTCCGAGGCTTCGGGAAGGGGGACTGCGAGGCGATGATGGGAGCCGAGGCAAAGTGTGGCTGCCTATTTGGAGTCACTATTGTAAGGTGGTAACTAAGGAACTGCTGCCAGTAGGGAGAGAAAGGCTCGGAGGAAACTTAGGCTGCGCCTTGGGGAAGCAAGGATGTGCTGGGCGAGGAAACAAAGAGGAATTGTGTGGGTGTCTGGGGGCAGTTGGGAGTGCAGCTGATCGTGGGTGGCGGAGGCAGCTGGCGAAGTTGCAGTTCTGGAGGGGTGAGCTTGGTTCAACGGATTGGGAAGCGCTTCTCATTTCAATGTGCTCTTGCCCAAACTGTTTAAAAGCAATCACGAGGGTTTGAGGTCCTCTAGTGATCAATACTTTTGAGTATTGCCTTGTATCGAAGCTACGAATCATAGGCTGTTATGCATGCTTGGCGATTTAGTTTCACACCGTAGCGATATCTCTTTTGGCCGGAAATATGCTTCTAATTGCCTTGTTGCAATTAATTAGCTACCATGTAGTATTTATCTTCAGGTGCATCTTTGCCTGGAAGGGAAGGTATTTTGGAATGGTGCTTCTATTGTATAACGCTCAGCGTTGTTCCTTTTGGAAATAAAACTCTTATGTGCATTAATTATCAACTTGGGGGGGTGGGATAAATTTAGCTGATATTAAATCTAAAATGCTCTAAGGCTCACTTATATAGCCTGATTGCCTATGTGTTTTAGTAGTGTGTTTTAGTGGAGAAAAACTGCCTCTTGCCAATAAACTTTGCTAGTAGCTAGTTACTCTAAATTCCAATCTTTTGCATGTTCCACTTTTTGTATATTAAAGTTTGATACGAAGAATAAGACATTTCATTTTTTAAATAATGAAAATGCATTTTTCTTCTCTTTGTATGGGTTTGTGTGTTCGAGAGAGATGAAAATAAATGGCAGCAAATGACAGTATCTCTGAGAAAACAGTTTAAGAATAAACCTGTTGAGCAATGTGAAGGAAGTTAATTTTCATTATTTTGTACTCTTTTTAATTTGAGAACTTCCTTGCTAATACATTGGGACTTGCTTTTGGGAGATGATTATTATTCAGACCAGTTAAAGGTCAAAGTGTAGAGGCTACTTTGTTGGAGAACCAATGGTTTATGTGAGTAGAAATCAACACTACAGCATCCAGTGTCAAATTCCAATTAGCATAGCTCTTAGGTTTGGCTGCTTTGTCATCTCTAATTAATAAAGGTTTGCTTTGAGGCAGTCAAACAATGCCCAGCCAGCTTTTGTCACAGTATACTTAAGTGACAAATTCATGTAGGACTTTCTGATTAGTACTTCAGCTATATTGGAAAAGTCGCTACTATGATTGTTTTGATGAATCATTTAATCACTCTTAGGTTTTGGGTGAGTTTTTGTACATTATATTTATAGAAGTTATGGAAAATGTGTTCAGTTATTGAAATCTAGCTAGATCAAATCAGAGGCTCAATGTTATGAGTGAGACAGTATCTACTGTAAAAAAGCATGATTTGTGTGGCCAAAATGCTCTTTTCTTGTTGTTACCCTATAAAGCAGACTTCATTCTTTCTCTAGACTCTATAGAATTTTAATATAGTTCTATCAGGCAAATGAATCTTAAGATAGTTTTAAGATAGGGATTTTTATTAGTCCAAACGGGTAATTAGTTTTCAAGTTTTCTTTGCTCCCTAATGCTAATGATATGCCATGTTAGTTTCTCATCAGTGATAGTTTCTTTGTCTACATGAAAACTACAACTTGCTGACTTCAGGGTCTTAGTGTTTAATATGATTTAATATGGCTGGATTCATTTAATCAAGTTTTGTTCTGAAATGAACAGTTTCTTGTTGCTGACTATTTTTTAAAAAAAAACAATTTGGGGGATTTTCTCTTTTCAAGTCTAATAGCCTAACTTTATACAAGTTTAGTAAGAAGTAAAGTCCACTGTACTTAATGGGTCTATAAGGTTGATCATGATAGTTTTGCAGTTTTTATGGCTAAGAGAGTGACTCAGTCTGACTAGCTTATGATAAAATAAAGATTTCTACTATGGACATACTACCTAATTTATAGTTCTGAGTCCAAAATGTTGTATTGCCTCACATACAGGATAAAAATCTGTAATCATGATAAATGGGTAGTGTGCTTTATTTAATGCTTCCTTCAAGTAGCTGCAGTGGAATATTATTTTGTAGTCTCAGGTTCCATCAAGAACCCTTTTTGAGAACTTTGCTCAGACTGGGTGTCTAATGACTGTAGCAAGAAATTGTATGAAACAAGTCTTCTTTGAAGCTGTACCGATGTAATTGTAAGATTACTTTAAATAATGTAAGTTGCTCTAAATTTTAGTGTCCTTGGTTATGAATATTATGGGTAGGTATGGTTCATTGTAATAAATTTTTCAGTAAAATAAATAATGTTTCTATTATTGCCACCTTGCTATATTCCTTTAAATTTGGGAAGAGAAGGGCTTTAAAAATGGAATGACCAAATGATCATTTCCCTTCCATTTCTGTGTGGTAGAATACACTAAGATATGTTTTGTTTGTTTAAAGATGTCTCTGCTACTACCCATTATTGAAAAACTGGACACATGATTATTAAGTGTTAAGTGTGATGTCTGAGGGGAAATTAAAGCCATTTTCCAGAGCATCCTTTATAAAATGTAGTTCAAGAATTCCAGACCATCTTTTAGTGCATGGGTCCCCAATCCCTAGTCCGTAGACTAGTACCGGTCCGCGGCATGCCAGTAACCAGTCTGCACAAACAAGCAAAGCCCCATCCGCAGGATGCAGGCAGCACAGAAAACCACACATCCTCCGGTCTGTGGGAAAACTTCTCTCCATGGAACCGGTCCCTGGTGCCCAAAAGGTTGGGGACCTCTGTTTTAGGGCAAGCAAAAAAAAAAAAAAACCCACACAAATCAACAGAAAAGTTCAGAATTAGAGTTGATTTAAAATAAAATGGAATATGAAATTTATTAATAAAGATTTTACTAACCAGGAAATCGATGCTATGAATAATGGATTTATGGAAATATGAAATAATTCAGATGATGATGGAATCTCTCTGTCTATATATGGCTATTTTTCTTGTTGAGGATGGTTAAGTTTATCACTGTCAGAAATTAAGACAAACCCATTCAGGTTCAGCCCAACCAGTTAGAACAGTTAAGGAGAAACTTCTTATAATCTCATATTTCTGAGCGACTTGGTGCTGCTTCTAGCAACCGTCAGAAATATGAGTCAGTCGCCAAGCGTCTGAATTTTGATTGTGTGATCATGGAGATGCTTCAACAGTTATAAATGTGAAAAACGATTATGTCACTTTTTCCAATGTTGTAACTTTGAACAGTCACTAAACAAACTCTCGTAAATCGAGGACTACCTGTATGTGGCATATAGAATTTATTTTTTTCAAAACTCAATTATGCTCTTTGGAAGAGGATGAAATGGGAGTGGATTTTTGTGAATATGTTTATATTTGGGTGTAAAGCTTTTCTGTTTTTTGTTCTTCATGGAAGAATGAGGGAAAAATATTTTAATCCTATTTCAGCAAAATTGGTAACTGATTGTATGACAGTAGAACTTTCCAAGTCCTCTCTGGAGGCTGAATTGAGGCAGTAGAAAGGAGATTTCTACTTTGGACAAAAGCATTTTTAACGTAGTCACTTGGATAGGCCATGCAATTTTAGCTTGCCAAATGAAATTATACGCTCCTTGTGTTGTCATGCCAATAAGCAGATTACACCAAAAGAATAGAAGAGTGGTGGACAAAAAAATATAAAAAAGTCAGCACTGATAAAAAGTCCAAATTTATTGTTTATTCATTTAATGAATTTGTAATACAGTGTGATGCTGAGGTACCGTAGTATTGTAGCAGTGGCCTTTTTCCAGGTGCCATTATATGGCCTATGTACCACCTAATTTGAGCTCAGTTCTCTGAAACTGAGCAGTTTGCAACTTATAATCATTTTGTAAATCCTGATATATAAATATAATTTATCCTGATCTGTATTATTATCCTGGTCTTCCTAATATGTTTGTTATGCAGCAAGCTGATAATAGTGATGCCACCCAATTATTCACAGATTTTAGTTGATTTAATTCACATTCATTTTCATATTGCAGCGCTAGAACAATTATGAAGCAAAAAGCACGCTTTTATTTTCAGATAATCTATTAGTGTCATAACAGAAAGTTTAATGTGATAATTTGGGGGGAAGAAATACCTCCTTTAAACTTGCAATTGCCATTTGCATTTTTGGAAAGTAGTTCTGCTGGTGCTATTCTAGTGCTTGATTATTTGAGTCGGCTTCTTAGACTATTTTGCTTGTAAACTTTTGCCCATTTATCTGGAATTAAGTGCCTTGGACTCTGTGGAACTTGATACTTAGTAATCTACAATATACATGGCACTGATGGCGAACCTTTTAGAGACCGAGTGCCTAAAAACTGACCCTGCCCTCGCTCCACCCCCTGCCCTGCCCCCACCCCGCCTGCCCGCAGGACCACTCATCGCCTCCAGGGCCCACCGCAGATCATTCAGGCAGTCCAGCAGCGCCATGGCAGCCATGCCCTCTGCCTGCGTCCCACAGCATCAACTGTGCGTGATGGGGCATGAGGGCAGAGTCTTGTCTACTCTGCCTGGCTGCCATGTCCTTGGCTGCGCTGCTTCGCATGGGCCACACTCAGGGGCGACTCTCCTCCAGGGGGGCTGCTGGGGAGGAGGGGGCCATGGGGGAGGCGGGGCTGGGGCAACGGCACGTGTGCCCACAGAGAGGGCTCTTTGTGCCGCCTCTGGCACATGTGCGATAGGTTCGCCAACACTGATATATGGGATTGGTCTATAAACATTTTTATTGT